CGGCGATTGTTCCGGATTAATATTATATTATTATAATTTGTGCTATATAAGATATAGTTAATTTATTAAACGTATTATAATTATTCGCGTCTTATAAATTTTAATGATGTTACAGTTATATTATAATACACACAATTGTTATTATCGGTGGAAGTTGATATACCTACAAGTAGTTTATTTCGAAACTCTAACCCGGACAAAACTGTTATTGGTTATAATACATGGATTTTAGGGGCCTCATTAATTTTCGTTCTGAAATTGTTAATTTTCGTTGTTTAAATTATAGTAGCTAGGTGCTTTTCAATAAATTGTAAGAAGTGTAGTTAATGAAAAAATAAAATAAAAAAAGGTGGGCAAGTGGGTGTCGCTCTGCTGTACAGTAGGTTACAAGTGGGTCACTGTATAATGGATGATATTAAATTTGAATTCAACGATATAATATCATTGTATAAGAAAAACGATTCTGAGCGGAGACGGTATGTCAGTCTATGTTTAAGACATATTATATACATATCTATGGTATTAAACAAAAAATTGACCTATAATAGGTACCTATAATAAATTCCAAATTAATCATATCACAATGTCCATTAGGTACTTATAACGCGTTATACATCAACAAAACCGTGATACTATCATAGATATATAATAGTACACTTTAGAAGTTTCAAGTACCCACGAATAATATTATTCAATCACAACAAAATAACTAAAATAGTTATTCTAGGTTTTTTAATATGTAATTTCGTCCAAATTTGAATTTAAAATGTCTGTAAAAAATAACTGTGTTCATATATTTTTTAGATTTTTTGGTTACAGTATGAACTATTTATGAGAACCTTTGTTTTAAATTTGCAATCCTTAGCTATAAAAACTGAACATTTTATAATTTATTAATTTCAATGATTGATAATTTTCGAGATTTTGATAAATTTTGTCAAAATTTGATCTTTAAATGCTTATAAAAAAAAACTGTGCCTATGTATTTTTAATATTTTTCAACTGCTATTGTAACAGTATATCAGGAGCCTTGTATTAAATTTTTACACTTTTTGGCCCAACAGATAAAACTTTATTGATATTTATAGAAAAAAAAACTAAAAAAAATTGAAAGCTGTAAATGTCCATAAACAGCTCAAAAAGAGTCAAAATATTTTCAAAATTGTATGGTGTATAGAAAATGCTAATTTAAACATTCAGTGAAATTTTCATGTATCTACAGTTATTTGTTTTTGAATTACAACAAACTAAGGAAATCGCTACATGGGAAATCGAGTGAATATTCAATGTTGTAAAAATTTGAATTTCAAACGCTCATAAAAATTTAATTTGACTTTCTTATAGACATTTTTTTTTTTGATAAAGGTAGATAATCTTATAAGGAATCTTGTGTTAAATTTTCAAATCTTAGATTTAAAAAGAAAAATTTTTACGAATTCTTAACTCAAAATAATTTGCTAATTTTCGTGATTTTTCCATATTTTGTCAATTTTTGAACTTTAAGTGCTTATAAAAAAAAATTGTGACTAAGGATTTTTAATATTTTTCATCTGCCTTTGAAACAACATATTAGGAGCCTTCTATTAAATTTTCAAGCTTTCGCAACCAACAAATAAAATTTTATTGATATTTCTAGAAAAAAAACTAAAAAAAAAATGAAAAATGAAAATGTCCCTAAACAGTTCAAAATAAATCAAAATATTTTGAAAATGTTATCGTGTATAGAAAATGCAAATATAAACAACCAGTGAAAATTTCATGTATATACGTTCATTTGTTTTAGAGTTACACCAAAAACCAAAATCGATTTTTTGGAAAACCAATTTTGCGTAAAAATTCCCGTTTTTCCTTAATTTTTATGTTGTTTTTTCCCGGCGCTTGTGAAAACTACTGGGAAATTTATACTTTTGACCCCCCAAAGTACCAACTAGATTCACTTTCCTATCAGAAAAGCTACTGATGAAGAAAATCCAAGCACTTTTACTGTCCTAAAACGTGATGACAGACACAAAAATAAAAAAAAAAATAAAAAAAAATAAAAAAAAAAATAAAAAAAAAAACACACATCATTGTAAAATCAATACATTCATCGTTTCACTCAGAATCTAAAAGACATTTTCCACTGATTACAGAACATATATAAATCTGACATTTTTATATCAGTTGGTAGGAACCTACATAATATTATATAGGTAAGAGAAGGATAAGTATATTATATAAAAATGTATTTATTTACTACTAGATGATACAAAAATAAGATATTAATAACATTAACTAATAGTTTATAATGTAAGAAAGGCTTTTTACAACATGCACATTTTAAATTAATATTATTTTCTTTAATGTTGGATAATAAGCATGGTAAATATTATTGGTGACCTGTGTTTGAGGTGAATTTTATGGAATTTAATATTGGTGAAAGTTTAGGTTCATCCACTGAATCCTTTAGATAAACAGATAATCTATAGTCATCTAGATATTACAGTTGAAAGTTTAAAAGCTTGTTTAAAAGCTATTGCGATGATAAAAGTATCAATAATTGTTGGGTGGAACGGATGGAATTCACAGTTTTTATTTGAATAAAAAAAATCTGGTTACCGGTGGAATTTACATGACGTTACAAAATTTGACCATGAAAAGGTTAGTGGAATTTACAATTGACCGGTATTATAGGTTATAGATCTATTAACTGCTGTCTGTTCATATTATTAGTGTGTAAGTATCATTACAGTTATATATTAATTATAATTTATATAATTCCGTCCCAGATCTGGAATTATATTTATGGCTGTAACCTGTATTTCGTCCAATAATAGGCCTAATTGAGTCATGATAAAACAACTAGATAGTCGATATCGAATTTGCTCATTCTATATACGTTTATTTATTACTAATAAGTACAGCGTAAGATGAGACGACTATATTCATACAATTATGATCCAGTTGCAGTAGGTATATAGTCGACCGTCGTGGTACCTACATATTGTTATAATCAGTATAGGGAAATAAGTGTGCTTGCACTTCTACTGTGTTAGAATCCCAAAAATCAAAGAAATCTTTGGGGAAATCTTTTGAGGAGAACTTTTGAACGTAATTGAAGAAATTAAATTTTGGTTTCACAAAGTTCTTGTTCACAATTTAGATTATTTTTTGCTGTGTTATAACTATAATTATGAAAAGTTAAATTTAAATGTTCTAAACATTTAAATAATTGATATAAATAAAATAAAATAAATATAATATTAATTTAATTTAATTAATAGTGTTAAATTAACTGTCCAAAATTCATAACTGAAAAACTGTCTTAAATAGTGCGCAATTAGGTAATGGAAACTTATGTTGGTACAAAAACTTATTTCTCACGATATAAACTATATTGGTAAGCAAAAATATTTATTTTATATGTTCAATGTTTTTTAGCAATTGATAGTCTATACATAAAGTTTTTTCTACAAATTGTGTATACTGGGAGTCTATTATAAGTTGTTAAATGAGAAAGAAAAATATGCTTTTTTAAATTTCCAACTCTGTCTCAATTGGGTTATTTCTTGGAAAACTGCAATACATCCGCAGTAACATGTACCTACCGTTTATCTAAAATATTAATTGGCAACCTTACAAAATATACAATCATTTTCGTACCATTACTTATGATTATCGTATTAGACATTTTAATTTCTAGCTAACTATAATATAATAAAGTACCTAACCAGACTATTAAATATGGGTAACCTAGCTGCTATTGAAAAACTAGTATTAAAATAAATAATACAATTATCTGATGTCAAAAGTCTTTCTGTGGCCTGTGGGTATTATTCGTCCACTTGTAGTAAATACCATCAAGTGTCCAACAGTCGTGTGTCAAATGTCCTAGTTTCGACGAAAACTAATTATCGGATCGCAGGTTATGCTTTTTCACGGCGCAGCAAAACTCATATAAAAGAGTGGAATTCTCTCGAGCTGTGTTATTAGTTATCATCCTACAAAATATCATGGGTAATAATTTTTTATTTATTTTTTAATCCCACGCATTCAAACCGACTGCAGAAATATACTACTCGGTGGATGCATTTTTCGACATTAATTTAACAGTATAACTTATATTATGTACGTCCGTTCTAGATTATTTTTCATCTTTCTATTCCGCAATTATATTTCATTATCATTATGTCTTTAGACAATATATTATATATCCCGCCGAGTTCCGACTGTATATTATGTTTATCACTGTCGACAATAATATAATTTAGGCGTGTATATCTGTACCTATATAATATCCTATAGCTGGCTATATGGCTTTAGGCCATATATAGGCTAAATCGAAATGTGCGACACATCGGCGCATGCCAACTATATTGGTTTGAATGGGAAAAAAATCCTTGAAACGTTACAATAAAAACCCATTACAAAGAGTATCGGACTGCCGTCTTGTGAGCATAATTGATGTATATATGTATAACATTATATAGCTACTATACAGTTATGACAGAATAAACGAGTTGGATATTAAAATATGTTTCAAAACCGCGGGACGGTGGTTGACAAAATCGATTTCCCACTTGGCGATTAATAATAATATATCATTAGGTAGGCATTTTGACATATAGCGAGAAAATGCAATTAATTTTGCAAACCAGCTTATACCTCTGTTCATAATTCATTACGCGTTAATTTATTTCAGAACAGAAATAATATTATTATACAATAATTCATCGCATCAAATGTGCTTGGCGATGGTTTATTTCAATGATGGCAATATAATATACCTACCTACCTATACGATAACTAATTTCCTCGTATCGACGATTAAACAGGAGATGCGAGATTTCGTGGTAAAATCGATCGGCGATGACGCATATAATAGAACCTAAATAAGAAATATATATTTTTCCACCATGTGCAGCCCCCCTCCCATTGCTGTCAAAAAACCCCTCCGAGACTGCGCTTAAATCCAAAATCGAAATGAAAAAGCTTGAAAATATTTAAGGCGTTGCACTTACCGGCTCCGGACGGGTCGCCGTGCAGTTGATCGAACGTCTTGCTGGTCATCTGGAACAGCGCGTCAAGCGGTGACGAATTGTCGTTGTTCTTGCCGGCCGCTTGCTGCTTCCTGGCCGCGGCCGCGGATGACGACGACGGGTTCGACTGTGTGCAACTCGCTATTTCCGGACTGGTACAGCACTCGCTTCCGTCCGTGCTGGACCGGCCGCTTGTGCACGTGGACGTCTCGTAGTCGGCAGACTTTGGCCGGTGCTGGTGGTGATGTTGGTGCTGCTGGTGATGGTGATGGTGATGCTGCTGCTGTTGCTGCTGGTGCTGTAGATGTTGTATGAACAGCGAGTGCGGGAACAGGGCACCGACGACAGGCTGTCGGTGAGCGGGAGGCGGAGGAGGTGGTGGAGGGTGAACGAACGAGCTGCACGGCGGCTGATACTCCTCGGCCCAGGGTCTGACGATCTTGGCCGAGTCGTCGGCCGCCGTGGCCGACGGTGTCTTGCCGCTCGCCGACGACGGTTCGTGGCTGAGTATGTCTGCGATGCTGAACGACTTGACGCCGGCCGCGGGCTGCGCGTCCTCGGTGACGGCCGACGAACCGGGGATGGTCCGGCCACCTTGCTGAGTGGTCGCCGTCATCGTCATCATGTCGACGCGGCCGTCAAGCTGCAGTGGTGGCGGAGGTGATGGCAACAACAACTGATGCTGCTGGTGCTGCCTGTGAGCCCTACGCTTGGGCGCATAGCTCTTGCGATCGCTAATTCCGTAGCTCACCTTGTCGATCTGCACCGTGCCCAACTTCTTCAGCGGTTCGAAGTAATCGGAACCGCCGCCGGACGACGACGTATCGGACCCATGACCACCGCCGTCGTCGTGCAGCCGGGCGTAACACTCGGCCGACGCCGGTGGCGACGGCCTACCGACGCTTATGTCGTCCGTGTCGTCGGCCACCGGGCTCCGGGGCGATCGGCACCTAGAGGCCGCGGCGTAACCGCTCAGATCGGTCGGGTAACCGCCGTAGTAACAACTCTTGTTGTTGTTGTTGGTGGTGGTGCGCAACAACGCTATGGATTTCATGCTATCCGCGACCGGAGTCATCAACAGCACATGTCCCGAACGCGACCGGCACCGTGAGTCCGCCCGAACTTGGAAAACGCGAGATTATAATGTATAAAAGCCACCGAATAAATCGTAACTCCGAACAACAATTATAAATAAACCGCGAAAACGAAACCGAACTGACGTCGCGAAACTATATAAAATATTATTATAAACAAATATTGTGTGCGGCGGCGGCGGTGGAGCGAGACGAGAGCGTGTGTGTAAAACGCGGTCGGTGCGCACTGACGGCGAGTCCACTGAGTATTAATCCGTCGGCGGCGGCGGCTATCGGTCGTCGTGCAGCGGCGGCACCGTCGTCGTCGTCGTCGGATTAGGAAGCGGCGCGGGATGGCGGGGAACAACGACTCCGGCTGTGGGACGGCGCGCACCGGGCGGCAGCTCTGTCGCTGCCGACCAATCGGCGAGCTCGGCACCGCCCACCCGCCCGTCCGCTCAGAAAAACACTCCGCCGCCTTAACCCTTTAATTACGCCTCCTTTGTCGGCTCGGCGGACGGCGCGACGCACACACAGTCGCCGACATCGACACCGACGGCGGCGGCAGCCCTCTCCTCTTTTAGACACTAAATTATGTTTTCTTTATCGCGACCGCGCGCATCGCTAGCGCGTATACCGCTGCCGCCGTCGCCGCCGCCGCGTTAACCATCACACGATACCAGGTCGATTCATCTCGGACGTAATTTATTAGCGCGACACGGCTATCCCCCTCCTCCATCCACCAAACAGCCGAGCATCGCAGCGTTGAACGGCCGCCGGACCGATCGCTCTCGCCGTATTCTGCGCTCGGTTATAACTCGCGGCTCGCTCGCCCGTCGTTATAGTTCTCTCTTTTCGTTTATAATATTATTCTTTCCCCGCGCGCGCGCGCGCCCGGCCGCGGCGTTACAATAATAATAATACCTAATCATTATTATTATTATTACACTCGCGCGCGCATTCACAACGCGTTTCTGAATAATATTATAATATTAGGTACTACGCAGCTCCAGTGAGTGCCTATCTTGACGCTAACTGGGTGGCCTAACGAGTATTAGTCGCCGTCGTCGTCGTCGTCGCGGTCGTCCATATACGCGGCGTCGGCCCACCGACAAGGCTTTAGAATTTTTATTATTATATTTCGACGGTTGCCGTTATAATAAAAATTTAGTATCCCCCACCGCCCTTAAGGTATTATATATTATACGGACTTACGATTTTCGGCGGATCGAAAAATATATCATATTTTACATGATTTATTTTTTTATACTTTTCGATGCTAAACGCGTTATAGAGAGGGATCAGAGATTAGATAACTCGGTCCGAAGCGATAGATAGCGATGAGTTCGAACGAGACCGCTAAAATTTGACCGTCGGCCAGCTGCCATGCCGGTTGCACCTATATATCTCGCTCCATCACGCCACCGCAGTGACATCCATAATATTACCTTTTTATCGTTAAAATAATATTATAAGATCGTTGCTCTTTTGGACGAAGTATAATATGCTCGCAGTAAGGGCTCATTATATTGTGCCTATATGTAATAATACATAAAAATATAATAAAAATATTATAGGTAGGTATACATCAAATATTATATAGGTTATATCTTTTCTTGTCTTCCTTATTATAATATTATATTACCTATGTATTCCGAGTTCCGGTGGCCTACAGCAGTTATAATAATATTAATAATAATGTGCATAATATAATATTATAATAGCTAGGTAGGAAATATCAAAAAAAAAAAAAATGCTAATTTCGATACGATAATATAATATTAATTTAATCTTATACCTCCTACTATTAATGGGTGGCTTATGATTATTATTAGATATTAGATATTATGATATTATTTATTCAGAACAACTACACTATTATAGTTTCTATATAATACTCTTAGCTTGAAGGATGAATACAAAAATAAAAATAAAAAAGCAATCTCTCAAAAGATACGAATGTTTTTTTTTCGTTTTCAAACGCTATTCTATATATATATATATATCATTTTATGTTACAATATTCGTATTTAAAAGTCCCTACGGCGACAGCCCGCTGAGACGACGCCGCACAGGGAAGATATAATATTATATATTCCTTTAATATAGTTATTTACTATAGTTATGTTCCGTTTTCGCGTGGATTGTCTGCAGGTTCGTTTTTGCCGCCGTATATGTGAATTGAAAATCACATTATTTTATTTGACGTGCATATATATTTCGGACAGCGTAATATTCATTATCTGTAATGATATCTAACAATGGTTAATTTAATAATGATAATAAAATAGCCAATTTTCACACTATTTATAGGTGTAGGAAAATCAAGCCCGGTTTATGGATGATTTGGGCTCCGTCACTCCATACATGTATAGAGGGCCCCATTTCAACTTTAACTTCAAAAAAATTGTATCACTATACAGTTATAAAATAACACATATAATATTGTACAATTTTGTATTATATATTACCACGTATACAATCATAAATAATAAAGTAATCATCTATGAGTACAATGAAGTTATATATAGTTCACAACTACTATTTTATAAGCATCATCATATTGTTATTAATTATTAGAACTTAAATCTTACAATTATCATCATTTAGTTATTTTATATTTTATTAAACGGTATTGTGTGAGTTAAAAAAAAATATTTCTTGGATAAATATGGGCCCAAAGACAATTCACCCCCTCCCATCGAGACCCCCCCTTAATCCAAGATTAAGGAAAATAAACATGAATATTCCAAAATGTCGGTCTTGACTGATTTGACTTGAAGTTCAATCAGCGACTTGTGATCAGCAGCTGGTGTGGCCTGCAGTTGTATTATAAAATGGAATTTTGGAAATAAAACCATATACATCAATCGGTTCGAAAAAAAGTTCCAGATAACATTTAAAGAGATTCTGCAGTGCCGTAGACCACAGTGATTTGAAAACAAATATTTTTAAAAACTTCCATGATATGACTATATGAGTCCCACTCAAAAATATTACAATTTGATAATTATAACTGTATATAATAAGTGCGTTTTAAGTGAACACTTGTCTGTGTACATAGTCAAAACTCATTGCGATTTCGGATTTTGTACAGCAATGCAAAATCGCATTTTACAAAGACTATAATACCTATACCTATTCGTGGGCTTCGTAAGCTGGCCACGAGTTTCTTATAAATTATACCTAATACCTATACAATAGTCAATAACTATATTACTATAATAAGTGGGTAATAATAATTTACAGTTTTAATAATTGTGGCATTATACGAGTTGATTGCAAAGATTGTAGATCGTAGTTGCATCTATATAATATAATACACTGCAGATATTGTTATTGTATTGTTATTATAATAAATTACACAGCTAGTGTACTGCAACTACCTATATGCAATATTATAATGCATAGGTATTATTTGTAACAATAACAAAACATGTTATACCTAACGTCCTAACCTATAATCGTTTCCGTGATATATCCGTAGATAAATAATGTAGATAATAGTGAACGGGTCGTGACGTAAAAAAAAGCTATCAATGTTGGGCTTATTTTTTAGTGGTTGCGTATTTAAAACAAAATTATACACCAACTGCAGCATTTCTCACAGAGCATATTATTTCGGAGAACAATGTTTGTTTCAAACTGTATGTATCTTCCATTATATTAATTTTAATTTTGATTATATTATAGACTCACGTTAATTGCTTTCATCAAATTAAAAATTATGTTTTACCAGCGTTGGCTGCTTTATGAGGAATGCAGTATATAGGTATATCATTTTTCGTTCGCCATTCACAGTATGAAATAGTCATAACTGTATACAATAACTGATTTCGACAAAATCTGATACCAGTGTACCACACTGGTCACTATATATACTGCAGGTAGGTATTTACCTAAAAATATTATTTGATGGCGCACAATAACACGGCGAAGCGCGACGGCTGATCGGCGGTCCGGAAAACACGTGCACCTTTCAATTTCCATAATAATATACAATATTATGATACGTATCAAAAATCATTGTATGTTAAACCTAATATATTATACAATGCATCTAGTGCGTATTTATAAATGTGTAAACATCGTAATCTACCCTCTACAACTGTAGATATTCATAGAGATTTTACATAAAACGAATCAATTAATCCCAATATATGCAGATATCAATTAATATCTGCAACTATAGAAGGATGCAGTTCTAAAAACTTCATAATATTATGATATAGGTATATCTCTATATAATAAATTGAATAATTACACAATTTTCTGTCAGTTAATCGTATATACTGCGAACGATTATCTATTACAGTGGTCCCAAACTTTTTATTCTACACCCCCTTGTACATTTTCAAAATCTCCCCCCCCCCCTTTGATTAGAGTTTGAACGACCTTTTTTTTAGCAAACTTCAATATTAATAATGTATTTTAGTAATATTAAAATTTTATAATATTTTCATTCAGGCGGTTCGTACCGTAGCAAATATGTCGGCACAAAACGTATAACTATTAGAGGCGCGCTATAGAAAAATCAAATATAACGCATTTTGATCCCTACAATAAAAATGCTTGCGCCGGCCCTGATCATTACCTGTATTAAACATTTTGTTATTTCCTCCTGTTCCCCGTGGAACCATTTTCCCTGGGAACCACTGGTCTAATATTTCGGTGGTTTACCCAGAACGTATTTGAAGGGGAGCGACAATCCGGTCGCCCTTGATTTTTAAGTTCGTGCGACGTCATAATATAGTAAAGTACGATTTATTTGTTAATCATCTTACTATGGAAATTAAACAAATCAATAACATTTTATGAAGTACACAAATTTGCGTTTTTTATGGGGTTCAAAATATGTTCTGAAAAATATTCAATTCAGACTATATCTTCGGCAAATTGCGTTAGGAGGAAAAATCGATGCCCTCCCTCTTTAGAAGAGAATATATAAATAAACGACCCTGAACTTTTGGTACAGTCTCCGCGTGTCACCATGTCAGTCATA